AGAGATGGAAAAGGCTTCGTATTCATGCATCCTCTCATCCTTTCTCGTTTATCGTTTCAGATAAGGCACATGCGTTGAAAATTAAAAAAGTAGAATTCGTGCGACGGGATAACCTTTCATAGTGTGTTATGATTCGAGCAACACTAGACGAAATTACAGCAATAGGGAGCTTTGCAGGGGTCTCCCATCTGACGAGGTCATGAGGTCTATTCCGTAGGCCGTAAATGGAAGAGGCCACTTCCCTAATTTATTTTCCACCAACAGAAGCGAGAACGGGAATCGAGGAAAGCTGGGAAAATGTGATAGAGGTACCTTTTCATCTACGAGACGTATCTGGCGACGAGGAAAGCGATTCGGAAAGGGGATGACGTCATCGGCTGCATCACTCATACGACTAAGGGATTCCGTGGATGTCTCGCTTCCGTTCTCGGTTGACTTCTCAGACTCGTCCCCATTCCTGAGACTCTCTCCCGTCTGGATTAGACGCACGTGGAAGAAGTCCTTGCCGAGCCAACCGTAGATCAACGCGCGCAATCTGTAATCAGAAAATGTACAATCCTCGCACGCGCACTTGGCAAAGACATCAGTATTGACGGATCCGAATACGGTTAATCGTTCGTATGCAAAGTGCTTTCCACGAGGGCGTAGGTTGAAAGCTCTCGACAGTGAACACCTTCGCGTCAACTGGAAGAACATTTGTGAATTGCCTGGAACCAGCGAGCTACAGAACATTTTCAATGCGGACTGGACGGCGGGTGGAAATTGAGGCTCTTTTCCTTCAGACGTGGGCACCATCGTCCGGCATTGCGAGTGGACCACTCCCTTTACGACCCAATGCACGGTCGAAACGAGCATCATTCGGCTCGAGACGCAATAAGAAAATCGGATTTGATTGCGTATCCCAGTATTCCCCCAACCCCCATCCCCTTCGAGGGTCGTCGACGTGACGGCGGGTCTGAGGTCAAGCTGTATTCCTCTATTCAGGAAACGTTTCACACATTTCGAAGAAGAAAAATGAATACAGCATCTTTACCAGCAGGAGTTTTCTCAATGAGATGCACGAAGCTCATCTAAATGTGCTCCAATGCCAGAAAACTCTACCGAATTCTACTACTACATTACGGAATGTGCCTGGGAAGTGTGATACATTCTCGAAGAGAACAAGTTTAACCGCTCACGATCGAATTTGCATTTCCCAAGTGGCGAAGAGGCGGCCATTTTCAACGCATTCAGGAACGTCTCGCTGCGAACGTATCGTTCGCAACGTTGAGATGCCTTCCTCCCCTTCCTTAACTTTGGAATTCTATCGGTACCGAAGTCGAGGACGATGCACTTCATGTAGCAAGGTTGGTTATCGATCCTCAAGGCAGTGATAACACCTAGAGTGGAATCATCTTCCCTATGCATTTCGGAGTTCATCTCAGATGTAATTTATGAGTAATAATCGAGCTCATTGCAGCAGCTCTACAGCGCCATGAAAGAGACGTATAAGACGAGTTTATTGTTGATACCATTTCCATCCTAATTTTCGCTCAGTCGAGGATTAATTGGCCTGAATAATCGGAGAATAATTGGTCTGGATCCTGTGCTCAACTTGAAGGGGACTTTGAACAGGATGAATCGGTGAAACGTTTCATGAAACTTTTAACCGATGAAAATTTAATGAACACTTTGATTGAATCTTAATCTCCACGCTCCCACCGAAGGCATGCATTACAATGTTCGCCATGAAAAAAAGGCGCTGAATATTAGTGCCTCGTCGTCATGAAATATATATAGAAAGATTTTGAACTCCTGCGATTGAGGTGAAGCGAGAGATGTATTCAACAGAGAGAAAGCGCGTGATCTTGAATCCCGGCGGGGTGTGAAAAACACAGAGTCATGGGTGTCTTCCACCTGACTGCAATCCGCAAGGAAAATAAGACTGCATTCTACCCCACTCCCTCCTCTCCACTCGCTGTGACTGTCAGTTACCTCCTCTCGTTTTATGCGGCGCATTTACTTTCCCGGGTCTTTACGGCTCTGCCATGAAGTTGGCTTCGTTGCTTTTGGCCGTAGGTGTTGTGGCAAGCTGGCCATCCGCATCCGGGGATGTCGCCTCCCAAGGACTCACCAGGTAGGACCTGCATCGATCACACCATTCCTTCTTCCTAGCTTCCACTGCTCATAATAATTGGCAGTATATGAAAGAAACTTCTATTACTTTGTCGCTTTCGGAAGAAACGTCCCTATCAACTGTTCTCGCCTTATTTCAGTGTCATTCAGTAAACTTCAGTGATAATTTTAAATACCTACTCGGGTTCAACGAGGGCTGTTCAAAAAGCTATTGCACCCACTCGCTCACTTCCATACCTTTGTCCCTGAGTGAACTTGTTTCAAGATGATGAGGTAGTTATTTGCGTGTTGGGATATGACTAGGATCAATTGCACATTATTATTTCATATTTTGGAAGAATGAACGTAAAACCAGAATGCATAAAATGGCCACAGTTGCTTATTGTGTCCAGGCAAGGTGTGTTTTAAATTAATGTTATTTCGTTAGATCCAAGAAACTTTGATCCTAGTCTTAACACATAGCGTACCGGATGTTTTACCCCGTCGATCCGCCGCTCTGACCTACGCCTCAGTTACTTTAGCTTAAAGCTCGATGCCTCCAAGGCTATTATTTATTCGGACATTGGCTTGGCGAAAGGACGCAAAAAACGGAAATCTTCGTGAGCGGTACGCAAAATGTTTAGAGACTGTGTACCTCTCACTCAACTTTCTGTTTTGGGTGGCTTCATTGAAAAGTGGGAAGGCCATGATTGAAGACGAGCTGCCACTCCCGCGGGCTTCCCTCAGCTTCTGCACAGAACATTGTGGTTACCACACGTCAATGCCGCGCCCGATTTCAAGCGGAGTATTTCGACTCCTTGTTGAATTCCTGGGTAATGAAACGTTGACTCGTGAGTGCTCTCACCTGACATGATCCTCGTGGTTTTCAAGGAAAGTTCGCGGTGGGTATGACGATGTAGATGAGGTCGACTTGACAGTGTCCGGGACATTGAATGATGTTGAAAAGCGAGGATTTATCTAGAATTCAAACAAATCATAAAGCGATGGAAGAATTCCATTCAGAAGACATGTGATAAACCGGAACAACTGCATACGTGCAACTCATTCCTACAGCGCCATCGCGAAATCGACACGGGAGTGTCTGAACATTTTGAATGCCCCTAGTATAAATAATGGCCATCTCTCATGAAAGCAATGTGGAAAGTATGTATGCCTTAATTTGTTGTTTTACAAGCGTAAAGCATGAGCGTAAACGTAAATCGTTCTAATTACTGTACATTTTATCCGTTCAACACCTCGCATACTTGATATAAAACAGTGGTCGGAGCACTGCTGCATGGAAAGATGAGCCCATCAGTATCACTTAACTAAGTTAACTCTGTCGAAAGTGTTCATTCTAAGTTACCTGTGCCTATGATAATTACATTTCTATGTAATACACGGAGTACTTTTAATAGGTAAGTGTTCGTGAAGGATTTGGGACTCACAAAAGTTGTAATTCCCGGGTTTGCTCTCTGTGCTCATGCGTGGCGCTCTAATATGCATAGCAGACTTAGCAAAAACTTGAAAAGTTTTTGCGTATCGACCAAGTTGCCTCAAATGAAAGACTTAGAAATGGCTCTGCCACATGGTCCCAACCTCAATATTGATATTCAGTTTCAAAAAGCTAAGAAGTATTTGACACTATAGGAACTTTATTTTCGAAAAAAAAGTGTATTTACTGGTTCCTACACGCTACATCAGAAGCATATAATGGCATATAATGGAAATCCGATGCCAACTTCCGTGTCTAACCCATTCGTACGCACAAGCGCATTGATATACGCCGTCCCATGTTCTTCCACCTGGCCTAAGACCCATATTGGCATAGGCATGTAGGCCTCGCGCGTCAGGTGAAGGCAGCAGAATTCCAAGCCAGATAGACCGAAAAGTTCCCCGAAGCGAACATCTGCCGACGACATCAATTAATCTAAATGAGGTAGTCACGCACGCAGTAAAATCATAATGAAACAGCGGAACTTGAATAATGATGGCGAAAACGCAGGTTGGGCTCAGTACTGCCGCATTGTACAGTACATGGATGGCGCTAATTCTCTAAAAGTTGTCCAAATTTTCCTTATTCTTGCTAGAGATTGGATACATTTCATTTAGGTATATCTTTTTAAACCTCAAACACAATTTATTCGAGAACGTGCATGAAACTCTGTCACAATGCCCATTCGATTTGTGTAACTTTTTTCATATTGCCAGTCATGACAGTCGCAGAGTTGAGGAAAGATACCCTACAGATCAAAACTGAGTGGTATCTATTCGAGTGTGATTCCGAAGCACGGGCGTCTTGTCTCTGCTTTTGGTTGGGGGGATTTCCCACAATTCCTTCTCTATTCCTTCGCGAAGAGCTTTGACCAAACAGGTATATGTATACAATGGTTTATCGCAATTCGCCCGAATTGTTATATCGTCCGAGTCCATATCACCTTCTATAACGTGGTCTCTCCTTTATTACCCTAGGTGAAGGCTTCCCAACCTTATTCACGCGCGACCCCAAAAATGAAGGGGTCCATTCAGGACCCAAAGCACTGGCCGAAGTTCGACAGGCTACCCCACCTATGAGCTAAATTTGCGAAAACATAAAATCCCTTACAAAACGTCCCCCGTATCCATTTGATCAAACAACCAGGTGGAAATATGCCTATCCATTCACGCAAATGTATTCCGAGCGAAGTGGTTTTTTCCACCCGGGTGGATTCTCCCCCGGGTGGACATCGCTCCAGCAGGTGGAAATAACGCCTAGGGCCTATCCACGTGCTTCCAAATATACATGGGAGGTTTGCCTTTTGCTAAGGGATGGCATTCCGGTTCCGGTTTGGGACCCCAAATGGGGTCGCGACCCCTGAGTGGGGAAGCCTTGCACTGGATATTCAACACGCCCACTCATCTGTATAATGGCAATGTGACCGGACGCGTCATGTCATCAAACTGGAAGGCATCGTGAGACCTATTCGTATGCGTTGTCCTTGTATAGGGTGAAGCTACACCGTGCAAAAAGCGTGAGGAATTCCTATCGAGAAGCCGGCACATTAGAGGAACTCCAACGTCAGGAAGAAGATTCAACGGGAACATCCGCGGAACCGCTCTCCAATTACCTTGATGCGAGCCCCTGCTTCGTTTATCATATCTTTCCCTTCGGGAATCAAGGCCAGAACAATTTATCATTCTATTATGACGCATCTTTTCAGGCTCAGTATTACGGGACAATATGGATCGGGAGTCCACCCCAGTCATTTCAAGTTGTCTTTGACACTGGGTCGGCCAATCTCTGGGTCCCTTCTAAGAAGTGCTTCCTCGTTGATCTTGCATGCTGTGAGATCATCTCTTGCTCAATTGTCTGTTTCTCAGGGGTATAATCTGGTGAATACAAAAATGACATAAGAACGTTATTATATATTTCACTTAAATAATGGAAATTTTCAAAATCCAAATTCAAAATAAAGAGACCAGTTCTGATGCTGCTGCAGGCGGGAATGTAGCTTTGAATGTGGCTACATGTAGTTGATAATTTAGGGTGAAACTAGTTGCGAATTTAGTTTAAATGCTTCAGATGAGCTGGTTCCATTAGTGGAAAGTGCTGATCTCCATTATGTTGACGATTCTCTGGGGTTGGGCCACTCCCATAACCAGAGGTGCCTCAGAACTCAGAATTTCATCCGTAACTTTTCAGTCAAAGAAAAGGGTTTCATCACTTACGCGATGAAAACCTTTTCATCATCTCTCTCAGGAACAAAATCGTTTACTTACACTCTGAAAGTAGTGAGCTTGAAAAAGAATGGGGTCCAAATTTCTCCTTTCCAAAGTAGCCCGTGAACGCAAGGAGCACAACGTTTTTATTGAGTGAAGGATGTTGGTCGAGAGCACTATCCTATCAAAACCTTTCCTACCTTAAGAACCAGCTGAAATAACATATATTCCGTAAGGGAAGGAATTTGAATATCAGAAATGAAAATTTCACTTCATTGCAAGGTTTCGTAATGTGGAACGCTAAAATGATTTGTCCAAACACTTTCAAATTTCAGGGTTTCATAACAGATATGATAGCTTCATGTCCTACACCCACGAAAAGAATGGAAAGAAATTTTCCATCTCGTACGGAACTGGAAGCATGAAAGGTTTCCTGTCTGCTGACACCGTCACGGTGAGTTCACCTGAGTCAAATTGGTTTCGTACCTCATAACCCATGCAAGCATTCAGAGCATATCATTCTGGGCCTTTCAGGTTAGTGATATAGCCGTGGAAGGACAAACATTTGCAGAAGCCATGATCCAGCCAGGTTTGACTTTCGTGTTTGCTAAATTTGATGGTATTCTAGGAATGGGATACTCCACGATATCCGTGAAAAACGTGCCAACTGTGTTTGAGAACATGGTGAAACAGCAACTCCTTCCGAAACCTGTATTTTCCTTCTACCTCAATCGGTAGGTCATTTTTAAGGGAAAGGAAAGGCGCGAACTGTTTCTTTCTGCTCTGCCTTCCTATACTTTTCGGCATCAATGCTCCAAGCTTTTTCTTTTCCTTTACATTTACAGTGACCCTTCGGCCGCGGAAGGTGGAGAATTGATTCTAGGTGGCTCTGACCCAAAATACTACAACGGCTCCCTTACTTACGTGCCTGTCTCGCGTAAGGGTTATTGGCAGTTCACGATGGACAAGTAAGTCTCTCAATTTGAAGCATTTGCTTACTACCATGGTTTCATCGACGCTGGTCCTTGCCTGGTCTTGTGAGCAGTGTGAAAGTGGATGAAGATGATGTTTACTGCCATAAGGGATGCGAGGCTATTGCCGACACTGGCACATCTCTCATCACTGGCCCCAGCAGTGAAATTACTGCCCTCATTAGAAGGATTGGAGGCCGCTCAATCGGAGGAGGAGAATATGTGGTAAGGATTTAAGAATATAATGATCATTATGTGCTTTTCCGAAAGTCATTGGTGTGTCTCTCTCCCCCTCAAAGGTTGGGTGCTCTTTGATCTCTAGTCTCCCTTCTATCCTAAAGTAAAAACCGCCTGCCTGGAAGCGTAACCTCCCGCTACTGATGCACGAGTTTCACACATTGTAAGAAAAGCAACGTAACTTACTTTAGGGGTAGCTAATGCTGAGGTAGAAAAAAGTACAAAATCCCAGGTGTCACAATTCGGCCGTACCACCTGCCTCTTGGGTTTCTCTGGGCTAAATATTCCTTCACCGTCCGGTCCACTGTGGATTCTTGGTGACGTTTTCATTGGAAAGTTCTATACGGAATTCGACATGGGGAATAATCGAATTGGTTTTGCTGAGGCTTTTCATACCCGCTGATCCTGATCAACATTTTCTTTGTTTCTGATTTTTTTTTTGTGGTAGGAAAGAATTGATTATTATTATTATTATAGGACTGCATCGATGTATCGGCCATCGGCACGGTTGCAAGCTGCCGATGCACATGCCCAACGCAGGAGCAAAACGCATGTGAACAAAGCTAGGTAGGTGCCGGAAATGATGTCTCACCGAAAGTCACTCCTGCCGGCCTTTCCCAGAACAAAATTATATTATATTTCAGTCTGAGTGGAGGAGCTGGCGAAGGAAGTATCGATAAAGAACGGGAAATCATTTCCTCTCCTATTAAGTTTTGCTTTTGCAAAAGTTGTGTCGTTAAACCCTCTTAAAGAGCTGCATTAGATAACGTGCAAATGACTTATGGATACTCAGGCAGACAGACTGGACAGGCCTAAAAGTGCTCTCTATCGACTTAACACATTGCGTACCTGACATTTTACCCCGTCGATCCGCCGCTTTGACCTAAGCCTCCATTACCTTAGCCTGAAGCTCGAGGCCTACAAGGCTATGACTTTTTCTGCCATAGGCTAGGCAAGAGGACTCGCGAATGGACTAAAAAACGGAGATCTCCGTGAACGGTATGCAAAGCGTTAAGAAGGATGCCACTGATAATTCTAGGGAAGCCAAATAGGACTATTTGAATTTCATGTTTTCTCAATCTATAGACTACAATCGCCTCCTGCAGATGGTTATTGGCCATCGGCTCAGCCCTAGTTTTTTGTCATATGTAATGGATTACACCTTTCAACCATGAGCATGGGCTAGGTTTACGGAAATGTTTAACATATTTACTTTAAGATATTGTTTAGACCTTATAGACTTCCTGCTTTTACTTCATTGGGAAAGAAACTTCAGAAAGTGAGTTCAGTCCGTTTCCTGAAGACAATTCCAAATATGCCTGTATTAAATAAGGTGTGGAGAGTGGGAAAAGTGTAACTTTTCCGAAAAAAGTGTTCTTGGTTTTGTGCTTATAGAACCTTATTCCTTTCATAGAGAAGTATATATATTTTTTGAACTAAGTAACAAACGAAGTGATCTATCGATACATACCACTTTTGCTCACTTTTAACATGATGGTCATTGGAATATTCATTCATTCTATGCGAAATTCCAGGAAATAATTTTTTTGCGGATGGACCACTTTGCCTTTCAGCCCTTCATATATTTGCTCTGTAGGCTCGCGTTTGAGCGAGATTCGCGCCGCTTATCTTCAGCAGTTTCGCCTGATTCGGCAAGAGTTCCTCCCGTGAGCCCGAACAGGCTTCTGGATTTCAATCGTAGGTCGGGCGGGTCGATCAGTTCGTTGTGGATCGGTAGTTCCGGGTGGCGTTGGATGCGATGGTACTCGTTTAGGGTTCTTCGGGTATTGGTGGTACGTGAAGCTGCGGTTCAGCGTAACTCTACACTCTTAAACATGTAACCTTTGAGTAACTTACATTAAAGGTCATAAAACTGACAATTTTCTACCCTTTAAATGAGAGTTATATCAAAAGTTTCAGGGTAAACGTTGCCTAAAAGTTAAACACACTCCTGATCATGGGTCGTTGATCCTGAAAATGTGAAGAACCGCTTCACGAATTATAGGCTTTCAGCCGTTTCTAGAGCATGTTTCGGCGTTTGAAATATAGATTGATGGAAAGGATGATAATTGCGTAATTAATTCAGGTAGTACACTTTAATATAGTCAGAGATAGCGGTGAATCAAATTGCTTCATCGCGATCTCGAACCCTTGAGACATTCTCGAAGATGGCAGGTAGATGTCGATAATCATCAGTCACATCAAATTTAGCAGAGGAGACTAGTCACACTATCTGATGTCTTCAGTTAGTAATTAAAAATTGGGATGATTCGGGACCCTAGTTCACTTACCTCTATCCTGACTCCATGTAAAGCTGGTCGTTTCTACGGCTTAGTGTTACGTAGCAGAGACATTCCAAAATAAATTCATGGATGATTCGAATGCGAGTTTATTAGGTATACAGGCTCTTTCATCACAATTAATTCACACCTTCACAAAACTAGGTAATGGGCCATAGGCAGCCCAGGCACTAAACTGGCGGAGGCGGTAACGCGGCGACAAGTGGGACAAATGAGCCTACAGTACATGGCCCGCTATCTTGCGAAGGTGGCAGGGTACCAGCTCTCTTTACATAATGTAGCTGGCACTCCTCCCCTTCATAGCATGATTCAGTTGCAGTATCAAGATTGTAGATTGTACCCATGCTCCCTTCACCCATCAAATAATAATAAGTACATGCCTTCCTGATTTAGCGAAAATGCTTCCTCGCCTCTTCCGTCTTTTCATTATGCAATTCATGAACAGATACAAGGATAGCGTGAAACTATGATGCTTTGATTGCAATGTACGACTCAGGGAATTATTAATTGCTGTAGTCAAGTATTGGAATGTGTATAGGGATAGGGAAGGGTATAGTCTTAGAGTTATCTGAAATCAAATAGATTGTGCATTGTTCGACACAGACCTCAGAGTTCTCGTCACCTTTATAAATAATGTTAATTAAGGTGACCCACCAATATTAATACCCTTAGGGGATCAGGGTTCCATGTTGGATGCGGAATAGGAAACACCGTGGGTCATGTGATGCGCAGCATCACAGTTGAATCTTCTGATTATGCTAAAGCTCCAAGCTTTAGACGCGAATCGAATATGCATGGGGGCATTAGGTTGTACACCCTCCTAACTGATGGTACACCACCAACGAGCTACATTGTAATGTGCTGGTCAGGAAGGTGGCGGGCCAGTGCTTACAAGTGGGATATGCTGTAGATGCCTCACAACCTATTCAAGACAGTGGGCCATCAGCTCCTAACCAAAGTAGGTGGTGGCCCACCGCCTTTGTGTTACTTGGGTACGAATGCAGGGCGCAAAGCTATACAATAACTATACTCTGGTGGTTAAACTCAAATCTTTCATAGTGTGACTTTTTTTGAACAAAGAAGAGATAGAGAAGGCTTTGCTTTCATGCTTCCTTTGACCCTTCTCAATTGCATCAGGTATGGTACATGAATTGAAAACTTTGAGAAGGCAGAATTCGAGGGATGGGATAACCTTCAATTGCATGCTAGCTAATGTGGATTCAAGCGACACTTGAAATCACCAAGAGGGAGCTCTGCAGGGATTTCCCATTCGACAAGGTCATCACGTTGAGTCTGTAAGCCATAAAGCGAAGGGGTTACGAGCCTACTTTTTTCCAGTACTAATAGTGAGAATGATATATAAGGAGTGCAATGAAAACATGGAAGGGTTACCTATCCCTCTTCGAGAGCTACCTGGTACTTCGAAAAAAGAGTTTGTGGAATCTCGTCCGGAGGAAGGGAAGGAAAACGGAAAGTGGAAGACGCCATCAATTGCGTCACTCGTGCCACTGAGGCGGAGGATGTTCTCAGGATGGCTTCTGTTCTCGCTCGTGTCATCGCATTCTCGTCCACATTTCTGCAACTCTTCCACTTCTAGAATGGAAACACATTGATGGAGTCCCTGTCGGGCTCCCCGAAGATTTGCGCCGGCGCGGAATCTACAGCACAAGCAGGGCACAATCCGAGCATGTGCATTTAGCCTGAGGCTCTCATATTTTTAGGCCCTCCATTCCTTTTTTGTAATATATACGTAATTCATATTTAGGCCCCTCATAACCTTAACACATTGTGTACCGGACATTTAACCCCGTCGATCCGCCGCTCTTTAACCTAAACCTCAGTTCTTTTAGCCAAAAACTGCATGCCTACAAGACTATGACCTTTTTGACCATAGTCCTGGCTAAAGAACTCGCGAAAGGACTCAATAACGGAGATCTCCGTGAACGGTACACTAAGTGTTAATCTGGCCCTGTTCATATGCGTTAGGTTATTCCGCACTTTCGAAGAGAGAGAGCTGAGGCACTTTATAGCCAAGATCTTCGCGTTAAATTGAAGAATATTTCGTAATTGCTTGGAATTAGCGAGCTGTAGTATGTTTTCACTGCAGACCGGCTTGCGGGTGGAAATTTAGGATCTTTTAGACGTAGGCACCATCGTTCGACATGCGAGCCAACCACTCCCAATACAATTAAATGCACAATGAAAATAAGTATCCTTCGACTCAGGGCGCAGTAGGGAAATTTGGTTTCCCCCCCCCCCCTTCCCCTCGTACACTTCCAGCAATCCTTGTACGGATCTAAAGGATCCTTGACATGACGGCGAAAAGGCGGTCCCACAGCCGAACCATATCTCTATAATTCAGGAAGCGTTTCACACATCAGGCGATAACAAAAATTGCAACAGCAACTGAACTACCTGCAGGAATTTTCCCAACCAGATGCACAAACCTCATCCTTTTTGTCAATATGCTCCAATGCGAGAAAAGTAAATGGCAAGTGCATAATGGAGTGTATGATATATTTTCAGAGAAAAAATCTGGCCGATAACGATTGAGTTCAAATTCCCAGACATCTTTTCCTTCTGGCGAAGAGACGGTCACTTTCAACTTGGGGAATGTCACGTGACGAATGTTACGCCATCGTTGAGAAGCCTGCCTCCCCTTCCTTGACTTATAAATTCTATAGGTATCGAAGTCGAGGACGTGTTACGATGGAGTTCATTTAGCAGTCAAAAATCATTATCAATCCTCACACAAGGTAGAAATAACACTTGGAGTATGCATGATTTTAATAATTAATTAATGAGTAATAATCGAGTCGAATCCAGCAATCCCACAGCTCCATCAAAGAGAATTTCGAGACGAGTATATCGCGAGGACTACAGTGTATTTCCATGCTTATAATTTTCGCTCAGTTGAGGAAATTAGAGGGCCTGGATCGTGTCCCCAACTTGAAACGGACTTTGGACTGAATAAATCGGTTAAAATTATCTTGAAACACTCGACACTTCGAAATGATCTTAATTTCAACGCTCCCACCGTATACAGGCATTAAGACACTTGCCATGAAAAATAGACCCTGGTTATCGGTGCTTTACCGTCTCGGCTAACATAGAAATATTTTTGACGTATTTGAAATAGGTAAATGAGGGATTGTCTCCACGAAAAGAAAGCGGGTGATCTTGAATCCCGGCGGGGTGTGAAAACCAGCGAGTCATTGGTATCTACCACATGGCCGACATCCGTGACGAAGATGCGACTGCATTCCACTATCCCTCCACGCGCTGCGACTGTCAAGGGCTTTCCCATTTTCTGCGACGCATAAACTTCTCTGCGTCTTTACGGCTCTGGCATGAAGTTGGCTTCGTGGTTTTTGGCCGTCGGTGTTGTGGCGGGCTGGCCATCCGCATTCGGGGATGTCGCCTCCCAAGGACTTACCAGGTAGGACCTGCGTCAAATCCCACCATTCCTTCCTCGTGGCTTATTGTCACTGCAAATGCAGTTGTTCATAAACGAAAGCGTAATGTCACAGGATATTTCATTCCACTGTCGTTTTTGAAAATTACCTGAATCATGTTTTGCATTGCTTCGATGCCATTCACTACGCTTTACTGCTTATTTAATATTGTGACGGATAAGGATGGCATCGAGAAAGCACCGGCCGTTCCATGGCTTTCTTTCGACCTCTCATGCCTTCCGTCGTCCCGTCTTTCTACCCCCCCCCCCCCCCGTAACAATTCATACAGCGTATATTCAAGCATACGTGGAGTATTCAAACAGCTATTGCACCAACTCACTCACTCCCATACTGTTGGTCATTACGTGTTTTTAGATACCCACTCAGCAATTTATTTCCGGGCCGAATGTGGCTTATGTGCGCAATTTAACTTTTACAAGCTTGGCACTCGGGAGGCATATTCACGGGACATTACGTAAATGTTCACGTTTTCTGTGGAATCGAATTTAGTAGAGGGGGAGTCAAAAGTCCTACCACCCTTTGATCAGTAATACATCGCGGCTGAGAGGTCAGATTGCAATGCGGTTTATATCATAAGAAAGTCAAGAACATTGTCAATATAACACTGCTTGTTTTATTTCAAAAAAGAACATCACTTCAAAGTTATAAGCTTGAGATCGGCAGCATTCTTAAGTCTGAGAATCTCAGAATCCATTTTCTCCCTTTGAGAACCCTAGAACCCTTTGATAGCGAACCCTTCGCTTTCAGTAAGAGGATTTTCCACGATTCCTTCTCTGTTTTAAACCCAATAGTTTTGACCACGTCGGCGTGTGAATGGAATCCTCCATTACTATTCACTTAAACTTTTTAATTATCTATGAAGTATATTTCGTCTCATGCAATGGGGTCTCTCCTTTATTAGGTATTTAAAATGTTCCTCCACCCGCAGAATGACATTGCAACCAGACGAATTTGTAATCAAACTCATGAGACTTAATCCAATGGCTTGTCATGGTTTAGGGTGAAGCTCCACCGTACTAAGAGCGTGAGGAATTCCTATCGAGAAGCCGGCATATTAGAGGAACTCCAACGTCAGGAAGAAGATTCAACGGGAACAACCGCGGAACCGCTCTCCAATTTCCTCGATGTGAGCCCCTGCTTTGTCTTCATTACATTACCCTTCCGCAACAAAAATCAGCCATTTTTCATTGGAGCGTGACCCATAATTTCAGGCGGAGTATTACGGGGTCATTGGGATCGGGAGTCCACCCCAGTCATTCCAAGTTATCTTTGACACTGGGTCAGCCAATCTCTCGTTCCCTTCTAAGAAGTGCTTCCTTTTCGACCTTGCATGCTGTTAGATCTCTTCCAGAATTTTTCCGTTGCTCTGGTGAATGCAATAGTGGCAAGATCATGTTATTTTACAGGGTGGTCCATAGCAAACCTATTTTTAAATAGAGGCAATATCGAGGCTTTAATATCTTCTATAGAGGCTGTATTCGCTTATTTTGGAAAGCCCTGGATGACGTATTGAGCCCTTTGTTTCGTTAAAAGTCTCTCTAGACCCGCTTCAATGCGGGGAAAAAGAACTTGTATTCAGAAGTTTGTCCAAAACTTTATGTACTTAAATATCGCGCCAGTTAAGAGGAAAGTCGAGTGTGGGGAGGAAGGTAGCTTAAGAGTTCCGACCAGAAGCGGTTTAGAACCGATTTTTGTCCGAGTCGAACCTTTCGATCACTTCACCGATTCGCAGTTTGATGATGTGAAGCACGTTTTGCGCAGTTTTTTGCGAGCCAGGTCCTTTCCGGCTGCGTGAGCAAGCCCTAGCACACTGGTTTTGCTCACGTCCACTGTTTCTCCATTAGATTTGAACTTCTTCCGAGGAATTGTCCGGCTCAAATTCGCTGCCGGCACGAGCCGGACCCAATGCCACTCTCGCAAGCAACGCTGAATTTTAGGGATTTTGTGCGGTCTTCATCTGGAGCGAACTCACCATTGTTTGCTTACCACCAGCGAACCCTACTAGGCCAAGTGTTTCATCGTGCAAATTCAAATGGAGGGCTTCTGCACCCTCTCTCTCCCTCTCTCGCCACACAGACGAACTGCAATTTCTCGCCATGAAATGCCGGTTGAAAAAGCCAAAATGCTTCATGGAACAGGGCTTTTAGAGAAAGAGGAAGTCCAACCATTGAGTGAGTGACGTTTACTCAGGATGCCAGTGATGTAATTAATTACTTAGGCATTTCGGTAGATCTGCCAGCAAAGACAAAAAACATGTAACTAAGACATAAAAATGGATCGGAACTTTGGACATATGCACGTAATTTCGCCCAGTTTAGATTTTTCCAGCAAAAAATAGGCTCGTTCGAATTACTTTGTCTAAGTCTTTCCAAAAAGGTACATTGTGGCATAGTTTGCTCCTCTGGCCGCTAAGATATGCTACTAGAAAAAGGATTACTATGGACCATCTTGCTGCTAAATGTTGCTGGCTGAATTCAGTTATGCATACGATATTTTTTGTTAAATTAAGCAATATTTGTTAATGTAAGATAAAACTAGTTGGGGTCCGGTTCTGACGAACAAGGCTTCTAATGAACTGGTGCCACCAGTTCATCAGAAGCCTTGCCACCAGATGAATCGCTTGCAATATGCCTTACTAGGAGACCCCGTTCCAGTGGGGGTATTGGTCATTCACGGAGTCTAGGTCGGAGTCTTGTTCCCTCCGTACTAGGTAGACGGAGGTCTTGACACTTAAAGACAGAGGTGAAAAATCAGCGTCTAAATACTTTCATCATCTCCCAGGAACAACATGGTTTATCGAAATTCTGAACTAGTGAGATCGAAGAAATGGGGGGGATAAGAGTCTCTGCTTTGCGAAGCCCGTGAGCCTAATGTGTACGACGTTCATTTTTAATGCAGGATGTTGGCCGGGAGCACAAGTCGGTTATAACCCTATCTACCGTGAATACCCTTTGGGAATAACATTTATTTCATGAAGGAGTACTTTTTAATACCAGACTTGAAACGTTTACAAGGTGTTCCTCGATTTTGTGGTATCAAAAGTTAAAATGTTTCTCCTAACACTTTCCAATTTTCAGGGTTTCATAATAGATATGATGGCTTTAAGTCCAAGACACACGCAAAGAATGGAAGGAAATTTTCAATCTCGTATGGGACTGGAAGTCTGAAGGGCTTCTTGTCTGCTGACACCGTCACAGTAAGTTCCCCTTGCCTCCATTAGTTCCTCATACCACATATATATGCCTGCTGAACTTTTTATGGACCTTTCAGGTTAGTGGTATAGCCGTGAAAGATCAAACATTTGCGGAAGCCATGATCCAGCCAGGCATGACTTTCGTTTTTGCCAATTTTGATGGGATTCTCGGAATGGGATACTCCACAATATCTGTGGATGGCGTACCTTGACACAAACTCTTATACCAGTTTGTCGTCGAGGAAGGCTTTGGCCACAAAAGGAAGATGGAGTTAGCCATCCAGTAAAAATACCCTGTCCTTTCCGTGGTTCCCATTGTACGAGGTCTAGGCAAACACTTTAAACTGATCTGGTTTCATAATGGGTGTCTATGGTAGTAAGATTGCCTCCGTCAAACGGATTTCATAGAGGACCATTGCGAGATCAGATTAGTTGAAGTTAAACAGATCTGGTGCATATCACCCCATCTGTTTCTTCGAGTTTTGCCTTCCTATGCTTCTCGACATTTATTATTATTTTCTTGAAAATCGAAACAGTGACCCCTTGGCCGCGGAAGGTGGAGAATTGATTCTAGGAGGCTCTGACCCAAAATACTACAAAGGCTCTCTTACCTACGTCTCTGTGACCCAAAAGGGTTATTGGCAGTTCAAGATGGACAAGTGAGTTTCCCATTCTGAAGAATTTGCTTTCTTCCGTGGCTTCATTACCGCCAGGATCCTGTCTGGTCTTGTGAGCAGAGTGAAAGTGGGTGAAGGCGAAACATACTGCCCCGATGGATGCGAGGCTATTGCCGACACTGGCACATCTCTCATCACTGGCCCCAGCAGTGAAATAACTGCCCTCAGTGGGAAACTTGGAGGACGCCTAATCAGTGGTGGAGAATATGAGGTGAGAATTTTGTCATATATATTGCAATTAAATGTTTTCCCTGTGTCATTAATGCATATTTGAATTTCTATATTCCACTCAAATGTTACGTGCTCTTTGATGTCTCATCTCCCTCCCATCAATTTCATTTTTAATGGAAGGAACTTCACGTTGGAGGGCAAAGACTACGTGCTTCAAGTGCGTGAAATATTTTTCGTTGCACAATCGAATGGAATCTCCATTGTTTACGACTCTGAATGTATCTTTTTTTATGTCGTCTCCAGGTGCCCTATAGTGGCAGTACCATCTGTCTCTTGGGTTTCTCTGGGTTCGATATTCCACCACCGGCTGGTCCACTCTGGATTCTTGGTGACGTTTTTATTGGAAAGTTCTACACAGAATTCGACATGGGAAATGATCGCATCGGTTTTGCGGAGGCCACTTAGAATCACTGATAAAACTGGCTTTTTTTTGGTCATCCTTTTCTTTTATCTCGATGGCCTTATGTTGGGGAGGAATTCATATGTCATATATCTCTTCATACCTTTGCCAAATCTGGAATGCTGACTCTCGTACCCATTCCAAATGCAAGAATTAAATTATATACTTGAAACTGAATATATTTTTCAGAAACGAAAGTGAAACAACCCATTCATCACTTCATCAACATAGCTCAATCCGCTTTCTGGAGACGCTTAATTTAGAACGTGCCCAATGTACAATAGAGCATTTGGAGACCGGGAAAAGTGATGAATTTGAAGGTGACTGGAAAAGGAATCCTAACGACAGGATGAAAATTAAATACAGGTATATGCGTTATGTGACCCTTCACTCTCCATCCAAGCCCCAGATCGGGAGAGCTTAGTTACATACATTCTGACCCATCACCAATCATAAGTAGCGTGTTTTTTATTATAAATAAAGTGTAATATTAATGATGTGGGCTTGTATGCATGTTATGGGTACAAACTGGATGAATATTGATTGCATACATATTTTATACGCTATGATGTAGTAAGATATGTCGTAAAATTCGTTCATTGAAAAGATACAGAAGCAAAATAAGTTACAATTGTGTACCCTTGATGTGTCTCCCGAAATGGAACGGATGGGGTCCGTTCTGCAGAACCCCATTCCTAATCCGTTTCAAGCGTTTGGAAGATCTGCATATAAACCTCAATTGTCAAGAACGAGAGAACGACCGGTGAGCTTTATCGAGACAGAACGTTCAATGTCCCTATCGGCGCTGCATAAACCGGCGCTCAACGAACCGGCTCAGGTGATCTAACATCATGATAATAAGAAAGTGTGGGGACTTCTCAACATGCCGAGGACGTTCTGCGTACCTCTGTGACAGCGACCCCCTTAGCGATCGAGGTGGCAAATGTTGCCAAGACGTGACGCATTTCTGAGAGACAATCTCATTTTCCTGGTCATGATTGTATTATTTTCGAGCTAAAATTCCTGTCTCTTTACACTTTCCTGTTTCCATGCAACACATTCCCTTCAATTACAGCGTTTTTCGCTAGGGTCAGACAATTTTCCACTTGACTCGAACACTCGTACATGGGACGTTCCTGATGCACGACTGTCCAAGTCGAATGGGAAACCCAAGTGAAAAACACTGTAGAAGTTTCTGGAAACGTTGATCGCCGTTTAAGCATAATTATGATATTTCCCTATATTGGTCCATGAGTCTCAAAATGAGAAGAGGACAGGGAAAGAAAAAAAACTTCGGTATTGCCTGGCTTGGGTTCTGACGTTTCGGGGAACATGAGCGACATCTACTGTATATCTTGAGTACTGCGTTGGGAACTTGGAAATTTCACATGTGGAAAAGTGTTAAAGGCATTGAATTGGCTGTCTGATCCATGAAAGCCGTGAACTAATTCTGGAATAGTTATATGGGTGGCCATGGGTATTTCTCGCCGTGTCAGGGCTTTTTGCACTTACATGCATTCATTCATTCGGGCGATTGTATTGAATCTCGATCTACATGCATTAGAGGACGTTTCGAGGATACATAACGTTTTTATATCTAATGGGTGATGATAAGTGCAAAGATATTCAAAGAAATACTTGAGTAGATTTGCACCGAGTCTTGATCTAATAATTACCCTTTCGTCTACTCCGAAGGCGCATACGTTTTATGAAATATCCAGAACAAGGCATCAGTATCAACCAAAGAGTGGTTCCCATGAGTTTACAGACGAGAATAAGACGCCTCAAGTGCACGCCATTAATACTACAACGTACCAATGTGAATGTCTGGACCACATACACACAAAAGTGCGTGCGTAGGTACAGATGAGGACCCGACTGACAGTCTGTACACCTAAAAAATTGTTCATTTCCTTCTACGTTTATGTTAATACTTTGCCGTGTGGTGAAATATAAGATTGGCTATTGGGCATCAACGAGTTTTCCATGTGGCCTCCAGTCTTTGCTACCGCTGTTGCAACCCTTACAAAACGCCCACCAAATTCATGTGGATTTGGAACCAGGTGGATGTCCCCCTAGGCGCTATTTCCACCCGTTGGAGCGATGTCCACCCGAGGAAAATCATCAGGCATGGAAATTCCACCTGGCTCGAAATACACGTTAGCGAACGGATTTCCACCGGGGAGGACGTCCACCTGGTTCCTGGATGAAAACGGAAGATATGGCCACATAAACAAAAATTCAAACTGGGTCTCCCTTTTCTAGTCTCAGGTATGTCCCATCTTTCTCCGTCACGCTTCTTTATTCCAGAGACTGTACAAGGAGGGTAGAGATGGAAGGAGGAAGAGGATTGGGATTGGAATGGGTATGGGGCGGGGTGGGCGGGGCCACGCCTTCTGCCTAGGGGTACCTGAAACCTTGATCATGCTCTGTGAGCTTCATCTTGCAGTTGACATTTGCCAACTGCTTTAATGCATCTAGGCCAAGACGATTAAAGTGTGCTTCACCTGCCTTAATAAGCATTGTATTATCATCCTCATGGCCTTCGATGCCCATTTCTTTTTCACATCATTGCAAAATCTGCGATTGTTTGATGCATATATGTACTTTTAGAATTTCCTTGGAATACCCCCCCCCTTATTCATCACCTTGCCATAATGCAGGGTGGGCGTAAAACTACCCATTAAATTACATATCTACAGGACTTGGGTTTAAATCACAAAACACATTAACCCTAGAACTGCCTATAGCAGCGCGGTGACCTTCCAACGTCGATTTTAGCGACGGTTGGCAGTTGTAGGGGTAAGCACAAATGACAATATTGATTCATTGAGCTACATTGAATATATTACCTTCATTACAGTACATCAGCGAATCAATATCATAATTCATGTGGCTTGTGATTCTGAAATCCGGAAGACGAAAGCGTACTTTTTACAAGGTATTTTTGCGCCACCCTGTAATTGAGAAAAATATTAAATGAGAAAAATCGTTAAAAAGTAGCTTTTAATTTTTCTGAATAAATAACAGGCCTGAAACATGAACGTTCTCCTAATCGATGTTCTCCTAATGAGATACCCCGTTGGAAATTTTAACCGTCATATTTCGAATGAATGGCTTGAAATATATCCCGTCACTAACTCCCCCCTTCTAACCTGGGTAGAAGGTCTCTCCCATTCGCATCTTTCTGGAGATTCTCGTCGATCGTCAGAGATTCTTCTGGAATTTCGACTCGGTACCTACTCACCCGTGCATGAACCCCCTGGATCTATCTTCACGATATGGACCCTTTCGTTCACTTTGGCTCCCGGCCTTCTTCCTCATCTCCTTTCTCTTCCTTTCCCTTGAGCATTCCAACTGTTATGCTCCCTCGATGTGCGATGTGCCAGATCCCTTTGAAGTCTGTTTAGCTGGAGAGCTGAATTACTGTAATTTTCCCTCCATCTTTTCGAACAAGACCGTTCATAAAGTGATTTTTATGTACATGGTGGCCGCGAAGTCCCTCTGCATGAAATATACTTGATGCTACATAGTATAATATATAATAATGAAAATATTAATGTTCTCCTTTTACAATATTTCCAGGGGGTGTTTAAACACGGCAGAGTTCACAATAGAAGAAAGACTATTAGCGAGTGTGTGGGTCCACGATCGCACGAAGTTCGGGTGGAGGTTTACAGGGTATGGTAAAAAAATAAAAATAAATTGTTTGTAAACAAAAATATATCTGCTCACACTGAAGCTATTTTAGTGAAACTATCACTTTGCATATATGAATATATTTCCAACTGATTCCCAAATTTTCATCAGAATTTATTGAGATGGATCAACATGACCAGCAATTATTGAAAATATGTTAGATCTTGAGACTTAGCAAGGGGTTCTGCTGGTAGTGAAGAATAGAAAACCCTCGAGTGCTGTCCTTGGTCACTGAGAACTCCTCTTCCGTTTCAATTTATTCTTTTGTTTTTTTTTGTCTCTTGCATATGGTTTCCATTAGCCAAACCCCAATGAATAGAAGATGAATCACTGAGCATCATCAATCCATAGAGTTTTCTCAAAGTTCATTCAGAATTTCCATTAGTTTACGGAAGAGAGCATGACAGAGGAGGACTAAAGGGCATGGTAAAGACCAATCGACTCGAGTGTCTGCACTTCACCATATCTGGTTAGAATATGGAATGTCTTCTTTTCTTTCACACAGGGTAAGTTTTCCCAAATTATTTTGAGAAAATCGAAATCATAACCAATATTTTCAATAAAATCCGAAGTCCAAAGAACGAATTGAAATGGAAGAGTAGTTTTACGTGGTCTTGATGACCAGGAAGCTCTTGCCCATTCTCAATATCTTGCTTCTTTTCAATAATTGCTAAGAGTATTACTTCGACTCAATAAATTCGGATGAGATTTCGAGAATCAGTCGGTAAAATACTCACGAATGGATAGCGAAAGCTTCACAAAAATAGTTCCAATGTGAATGGAGATATTTAGGTTAAAAGTAGGCTGTACCGAAGGATCGGTCACTGCAGGTATCGGCCGCCGGTGTTGTACCATCGGCCGGGTTGCAAGCTGCCGATGCCGATGCCCAAAGGAGGGGCAAAACAAAACAAAAAATTACGTGAGCTTGCGAACGCAATTAGGCTCCGATCCTCCTGTCTCACTGAAAACCACTCCTACCGGCCTGTCCCGGACAAAGATATTGATCGAATTATATTTCAGCCTGAGTATAGAAACCGGCGGAGTAAAATAGCGGTAAAAACGCGAAATCATTGCACCTTCTAATTAGAGATCGACCGATATTTCGGTTTCCGATATAAATTTGCCGATATGGGCATATCGGGGAGTATTCACATCGGCTCTTTCAAACCTTCCGATTTTCGCCGATATCGGAAGTAGTGTTCTGTTCGATCTACAAAGCGAAAGAAAATATGACTAGGACTATCTTTTTCGCACCCATATGGAAACCCTGAGACGCGTGATATAGCCATTATGG